GTGATGCCTTATCTTCATTCCTCGTCTTCATACCTCAGTGATGCCTTATCTTCATTCCTCGTCTTCATACCCTCAGTGATGCCTTATCTTCATTCCTCGTCTTCATACCCTCAGTGATGCCTTATCTTCATTCCTCGTCTTCATACCTCAGTGATGCCTTATCTTCATTCCTCGTCTTCATACCCTCAGTGATGCCTTATCTTCATTCCTCGTCTTCATACCTCAGTGATGCCTTATCTTCATTCCTCGTCTTCATACCCTCAGTGATGCCTTAGCTTCATTCCTCGTCTTCATACCTCAGTGATGCCTTAGCTTCATTCCTCATCAGGATAATCCTCGTTGAAGGCTTTAAGCCTTTTGAGTTTCTGCGTTTATTCATACTTGGGGTTTTCTATTTCTGCAATAAGACTTTTTTTGAGTCGGCCTTGCTGGGTTCAGCCTGGTTGGTCAAAAACAGCCAAAAAGTCCTGGTTGGGTTCAGCCTGGTTGGTCAAAAACAGCCAAAAAGTCCTGGTTTGGTTCAGCCTGGTTGGTCAAAAACCGTCAAAAAGGCCTGGTTGTGTTTAGCCTGGTTTGTCAAAAACAGCCAAAAAGGCCTGGTTGGGTTCAGCCTGGTTGGTCAAACACAGCCTAAAAGGCCTGGGCCTATACCTTAAAATAAAGTTAAGAGATCGTAAGTTCATCAGCCAATCATTGACGGCCTTTCAAGCAAAATCCACCAATCATAGACAATAAATAGAGCGTAAGAACTTACGTTCACTTAGCGAGTTTTGAATGTATGGCCCCAGGTTGGGTTCAGCGGAAACTCAACCGACTATACCGATGTCCGCCAAACAACCATCCACCCTGTTTTTTATGGTTTTCAGCGTTGGGGCACTACATCCTCCGGTAGTATATTCCACATGTCCACCACTCTCAAGCTGAAGTAGTGCTTCCTAATCTCCAGGCGGGACGATTTCCTCTTTATCGTGTACTTGTGTCCTCTTATTCGGTTTCCTGTGCGCCGAGGAAGGTATCTCACGACATTGATTTTGTAGACCCATGGGTCATCTTGTAAACTTCGATCAAATCTCCTCGCAACAGTCTGTACATCAGGCTAGGCAACTCGAGTGCTTTCAGTCTCTCTCTCTTCATACTTCAATTTCATAACTTCTGGTGCTAGGTTTGTAGCTCTGCGCTGAAAATTCTCTTTGAGAACAGCATCCTTTTTGAAAACTGGCCACCAGACTACGTTGTCGTATTCTAGGTGCGTGCGCACTAAACCCTTGTACAGGTGACTCAGTGATTCATTATTGATGAAATCGAAAGATATTCGCTGGAGCCCAAAAATCTGGTTTGCCTCACTGACAACCTTTTTGGCAGTGCTCAGGGAACTTGAGGGAGGTCTCCATGTGAACCCCCAGGTCTTTTTCGCATGCCGTCTCTTCCAGTTGTATTTTTGCCCTTGCTTTCTTCATTTGATTCGGATGCTTACTGTCGTTTCGGCCCAGATTCATGACTTTACACTTCGTAGCATTGAATCGTAGCTACCACTGGTCGAAACAGTCAGAGACAGTTACTTATTTCAACATTGTAGCGAGCTAACCCATCTCAGAGGTGACCAGCATGCCACCTCTGGCAGTGGCCGGCTTAAGGCAGTGGGACTTATACCATTTACTTCACCATTCATCACTGTCACCGTATAATACCCATGCATTCCTAATATAATGTATAATAATTCCCGTATATGTAATTGTGGTAATGCCTTGCATTCTTCTCGAACAAGATAGAGAACAACAATAATAACAGTGAGAACAACTAGAGAAGAAAATAGAACATCTAGTAGGCGAACAGGAGAACAAGAAGAGACGTCTGTCTAGCAGGAGAAGAGCTAGAGAATAAAATAAGATCTAGCAAGAGTATATATTCCAAAGAACAGCAGGAGAGAACAGGGAACATCCACGACGATGTTCAACTTCCTTAAGGACGTCGGCAAGGAGATCCTTGACGAGGCGCAGAACAGCGGCCGGTGAGTGATGAATTATATCCGTACACTCAGAGTTATGTATGAGTTCTTGTCCAAATTGCGATGCACTTTTTCACCATTTTGTGAAGGTAATTGACCCAGCTTAGCCCGACAAAAAAGGGCTTATTTGTGCCAAGTGTGTCTCTTCTTGGACAATTTGACCTATCTATTTTCAGACGTACGTAATTGGATATTCAATAATATTATAGAATGCAATATGATAATTATATATTATTAATGAACATAATTTAATATAATTAAATATCGATCTCAGCTTATAAAGAACTTTGATTGAAATTTGACTTATTCGGTTTAATAACATAGATACAATATAATAGAGATAAAATCTAATGTTTATATATTGTATCTCTGGCTCAATCTATATTTATTTTGAGTTATAATATGTGAATAGTTTATCAATCTTTACTCACTCCATTGTATTTATATGCTACAATAATGTATAAGCATATTGAAAAAAAAACAATGAAAATAACATTACTGCCATCACAATACTGGACATAATATTGTTCCTAGGAGTATAATGGTACATTTATATTTGAATAATATTTGTCATATTTTTTCAGTATAATTAAACACTATGTATTCATTCGCATAAAATTTATTATTAATTTTATTTTTCAAATGACACTGCAGACAGCGGCCCGGTCAGCAGCCTCCTCCTGGCGGGTGAGTTCCAGCCACCACTGAGGCAAATGTTGTGGTAGCAACGCTATGTTAATGTTATTTTAACGTTATTTCTACGTTATTTATACGTTATTTATACGTTATTTCTACGTTATTTATACGTTATTTATACGTTATTTCTACGTTATTTATACGTTATTTATACGTTATTTATACGTTATTTATACGTTATTTGTACGTTATTTATACGTTATTTATACGTTATTTATACGTTATTTATACGTTATTTATACGTTATTTCTACGTTATTTCTACGTTATTTCTACGTTATTTCAACGTTGTTTCAACGTTATTTCAACTTTTACTTCAACTGACATTGAAACAACGTGTAATCAAAGTCATTCCAACACTTATTTCAAACTACGTCAAAAGGAACTTTATTTCAACGTTATTTCAACGTTGATTTTAAATGTCTTAATGTGTCAGCCTTACTTCAGCGTCAAATGTCTGGGTTTCAGAATAAATCGAGTAATATTTCTGAAAATTTGCAATGTGTCACTTAAATTTACTAAAAAACTAAAAATTTGATAATAATAAACAAATTAGTGAAAGCTTGGTGAATTGTAGAACTTTCGACTTGTAAAATTATTTAACTGAGAAAAATATTTAAATTTTTAAATTAACAATCAAAGCAATTGTTATTGATTTGGTCTTTAAATTCGTTTTAAATAATTTATGAACTTTTATCAGATTTGGATTTGTTGCTTGAACCAAAATGTTGCTGTTATATCTTTCGCTCCATTTAAATAAAATGCTTTCAATCTACTATGTTATTTACAAAATCAACTACATCTCAATTGTCCTTTAATGCTGTCCTACAGTCAGTACGATCAATACGGAGGTCAAGGCCAATATGGCGGCCAAGGCCAGTACGGAGGTCAAGGATATTACGGTGGCCAAGACCAATATGGCGGCCAAGGCCAATACGGTGGTCAAGGCCAATACGGAGGCCAAGGCCAATATGGCGGCCAAGACCAACATGGCGGACAAGGCGGTGGACACGACATGCTGGGCTTCGCTTCTAATGTTATAGGCGGCATGCTAAGCGGGTGAGTATATATATATATATAATGGATCAGAGTGCGTAATGCTACGAGCGTGAGTAATGATAAGATCGCGTGTAATGGTATGCAAGTCTCAGGTATATTAAGGTATCTATGAAAAGTCTTGACAAAATTTGGGTGCCGCCTAGGCTTCTGTCAAGCTAGGAGTCGCTACACTCGGTTAAGAGTTAATCTGGGTTTGCTTAGCCACCCGATCGCCATTAGCTTCTGGTAAGATTCTTCTTATCAACTTCATAGTCGCTTGAAATTATGACAAGTGTGTCCTATGAGTATGAATAGTATTTCAAGGTAGGATGACAAGTGTTTCCTGAGAGCATGAAAGGTTTGTGCTAAGACTATGATAAGTGTCTTAGGTAACTACTTTACAAAGGAACTACTTTGCCCTGTAGATTTCTGGTAGAGTGCTTCATGTTAGTCGTATGGTATCCATATATTATTTTATTCAAGCATTGCAATATGTTGAATGTATAAATGAAATATTTTACGCGTATATTACACTATTGTATTGATATTTAACTATTGTACGTATGACAGAGGCGGGCAGCAGCAGCCTGGGCAGCAGCAACACGGCGGCGGTGGGGACATGAGCGGCCTCATCTCGGGCATCGGCAGCATGTTTGGGTAGGCCTGTCTACAGAACTTAAGTTATATAGGCTATCAAGGTTATTTAGAACTAGGGTATTTACAGTGCATAATATTTTGGTTAAATCTAATCCATTTTAAGCCCCATTTCTAGCTATGATTTTTAGAGGACTTCATCTTGAGCCCCGCCTCTTCTGAGCCTGCCATGTCCCCACTGGGGCCTGGCATAGGCCTGCTCTGGCCCCATGTAATTCTGTGAACAAAAATTTAATTATTCACTCAGATTGAAAAATTGGAAGATATTTTTTTATAAATTTTTCATAAATTTCAGTTCGAATTTCTATGCGGAATTTGAATTTCACATTAAACTTATAGTTGCGATGCCGAATGAAAAACGTTGGGTCATTACAACTAAATTAAACATTATATTTATAACGTCGGTATTATCAAAAAATGTATAGATTACTATATAATTTGGTATATTTCGCTTGTTTCTTGCATGCGCTTTACTGCTTGTTTTTTTCTGTACATTATTCTATTTGTCTTCAATTTCTTTACTTTAATCTTCAGTAAGTTTGTGTAAATTTTGAATAGCGTTCAATAATTTTTTCCCTCCGTGCTGTTTCATTCGCGATGAATTTCTCCTTGCTCTCATTCTTTAGCGCATTTTATTATTTTAGAAAAAAGCGCTATTGTGCTCGCCATGTCCGTCCGTCTGTCTGTCCGTCCGTCTGTCTGTCCGTTTGTCTGTCTGTCTGTCCGACTGTTTGTCCGTCTATCCGTCCGTGACTTCACATTTTCGTCGAAGAGAAAATGCGCTCTCTGTCAGTCACTGCAGTGAGTACTGAGTTATATTTTTTAAATCATTTGATTTTCCTCATTGAAAAATTGATTAATTTTAGCGGCGTCCTGTTCCTTGATTTTTTCCTGTAACGTGGAAAATTTTTGTTTTCAAACATTTTATGTGCGCTCAAACGTTTGTTATGCTTAAATATTTTATGTGCTAGGAATTTTTTATGTATGATTTAGTTTGCAAAAAAGATATTTTCGATTGTATTATGTGTTGATGCGTTGTTAATTTCAATGAATACCCACTGCGTAAAACGGATTATTCATCACTTCGTTATAGATATTTCTTTATTGCTTTTTTGTGTTGGTCCCTGTTATTTTAGTGTGCAAAACAGGGGTGTGCACTGAAAAATATTAGTGTTTTTATATGATTTTACTTTTCCTTCTATCATGTCGTTTGTGAGTGAAAATTTATATTAAATGTATCGTTATTTCTCTCACCAAATACACGTTTTGCGCATTGTAAACGTGCTGTCTTATATTACAATGTCCTTTTGTATTACAATAGATATATATTTTTTATATTACAATAGATTGCCCGATAAAATATGTATGAGGATGTGCCACAATTATTTGATTATTAATAAATTACCGTTTCAGCGTGATTGTTTTATTTAATGATAGTTTCATAATGATATTAATTAATTATTAATATTACTTAATAAGTAATTGGATGATAGTTTAGTCGGACTGTTAACGTTTTCTGATAACTTTTATTGTTTATTTGAATTTTTCGTGCTAATTTTTTGATGAAAGCTGAGGCGCTGGCAGCAATTGTAGGTATTATATTTCCTATGTAATAAATTGATCCGTATTATATAAATGCCCTCGTGACAAGTTTCCTTGTATATTGTGTCATACAACATAATCTATGTCGCCACATGCGTCCTGATGTGTGTACTTACAACATAGCTATCCACCTACTTTTACCCTACGTACATAGTCGACCGCTTTTACCCTACATAGTCAACAATTTTACCCTACATAGTCGACCACTTTTACCCTACATAGTCGACCATATTTTACCCTACATAGTTGACCACTTTTATCCTTCATAGTTGACCGCTTTTACCCTACATAGTCGACCACTTTACCCTACATAGTCTACCACTTTACCCTACATAATCGTTCACTTTTACCCTACATAGTCGACCACTTTTACCCTACATAGTCGACCACTTTTACGTTACATAGTCGACCACTTTTACCTACATAGTCCACCACTTTTACCCTACATAGTCGACCACTTTTACCCTACATAGTCGACCACTTTTACCCTACATAGTCGACCACTTTTACCCTACATAGTCGACCACTTTTACCCTACATAGTCGAGCACTTTTTACAATACACTGTCGACCACTTTTACCCTACATAGTCAACCATTTTTACCCTACATAGTCGATCACTATTACCCTACATAGGCGACCACTTTTACCCTACATAATCGACCGCTTTTACCCTACATAGTCGACCACTTTTACCCTACATAGTCGACCACTTTTACCCTACATAGTAGACCACTTTTACCCTACATAGTAGACCACTTTTACCCTACACAGTCGACCACTTTTACCCTACATAGTCGATCACTTTTACCCAACATAGCGGCGGAGGACAGCACGGCCAATCAACCATGCTGAGCCAGGCAGCGTCAGCCATGATTGGTAGTCTCTTCAGGTGATTGCGTGTGGATTGTGCACGTCGCTATAGATTGTTAGCTGCTGATTGTTTTCCTGATGCAATACATATGTATATGCGATATATGCAGCGTTTGTATTTTTGGTATATAACGCATCTATATATTTTTTGTGTTATATGCAGCCCTTGTATTTTTGTCATATAACGCAGCTATATATTTAATGTGTTATATGCAGAGTTTGTATTTTGCATATGACGCAGCTATATATTTTTTGTCAAATGCAGTGTTTGTATTTTTGGCATATAACGCGTCTATATATTTTTGTGTTATATGCAGTATTTGTATATCTACATGTAACGCAAGTATATATATTTTTTGCGTTATATGCAGCTCTTGTTTAGTTGTTCCCACTCTGTGAACCGAAACAACTTTTAAATTTACATGTCGATTTAACTTTAAATGGTCTGTAAATATCTGCAGTACTGAATTACACTGTAAATTTCATTCGTATAACTTGAATCATTTTCAAGTTTAAGATGTTCGAAAATTTCTACTTTGAAAGATTTATGATACTAATACGGCAAAAAAGCGTATCAGTGCTACGTCCGCTGTCTGTTCATACTGTGGGTAAGAAATTGTCACTTATTTGGGCAATATTACGCATTCATTATACTGAGTGTAGAATCTGGGCCCTTAGAGTTTTCGATTGATTTTTTTGTTATTTTATGCGCTGAAATCTGTAATGTTTAAATTTCAGAAAAAAAAGTTTAGATCTTTGTATTTTACAATATGCAACTTATCTATTGCATGTTTAACTATTATATATAACTATCTCTATGATACATCACAATTTTCATATATGTACCAACCCCCTCCGCAAACAACCACTATAGGACCTCCCCTCCAAAAAATATGTATACCACCCCCTCCTTCCTATACCCCAACCACAATTACCCCACCCCAAAAAATGTGCACCCACTACGCTATTTAACCCTCTGGGGGGGTGGGGGTTGCGAGCAGTGGTGGGGGTGGGGGAGTACAGCAGCGCACGGGGCTGGACGAGGGGGCGGTGGGGGGCATCGTGGGGCAGGTGCTTCGTAACCTCAGGTGGGTGATGATGATGATGATAATGATGATGGTGATGGTGATGCTGATATTTTAACCCATCTCAGCAAATGATGTTGAAACGACGTCAATTACGAGCTGATCTATAGAAAAAACGTTTATTTCACGTTTATTTCGAAGAGAAAACGCTAAATAAACGTTATTTCAACGTTAAATGCCTGATGTGATATGTGATTAGGTTTTTAATGTAACTGAAACATACATATGAATTATGTTGTTTAAAATCCAATGATATAATTAATATAAATAGTATTTAGCCATTTTATAACTTACGATGATCGTATTTCGTTTTTGTGTGTCAGCGGCGGGAAACCACAAGGGGGCGGGGCCAGCGTCAACGATGACGTCATCGCCTCCGTAACTTCAGCGGTCATCCGTGAGATTATGAGGTGCGGTGGTCGTGAGGTGCGGTGGTCGTGAGGTGCGGTGGTCGTGAGGTGCGGTGGTCGTGAGGTGCGGTGGTCGTGAGGTGCGTTCAATTAAATTGATTCGTTTGCTGTATCAATGTTCAAATAATATTTATATATCTTCTGTCATATATGTATTACTAAGGAATATACGTAGTATCTTCTCGTCATGGTAATTATCGTCTTGTGCATTGTATCATATGTATATAACTTATGCATACGTTACATTTTCAAGTTATTTTATTTTGCATAGCATTTATTGCATTACATTTTCTTGTTATTATATTTTTCAAAGCATTTATTGTATTACATTTTCATTATATTATGTTTTATATAGCATATATGGTATTGTTTATCCATGGCATTATATTTATCGCATTAATCGTGTATGTCATCGCATTTTTATTTCATGGGAGCGCAGGCAGGACACGCACCAGCAGATCCTGTCCACCGCGGACCCCAACCGCAACTCCAGCATCGTCACCAGCATCGTCAGCGACATCCTCAGGTGCACTGAGACAAATTAGACCGCTGTCTTGAGACACTCAAGTGTTTCAAGGCCTCTCTGAGCGATCGTGCCCAGAGCGAGACACCAAAGTGTTTCAGAGAACTCCAAGTGTTTCCAAATGTGCTGACGTGTGCTGGGTGATGCTGACGTGTGCTGGGTGGTGCTGACGTGTGCTGGGTGATGCTGACGTGTGCTGACGTGTATATAGATGCAAGATTGAACTAAAACCCTGTTGCTGACGTAATAGAATGACGTCTCTTTTACCGTCATTATACACAGACCGAATGTATACAGGAAGCACGCGTCCTATTTCGCCTCTCGGATGCATAGGATACTCATAGGACACGTTTCATCGTTGACACGTTTCATCATTCCTACCTTTATCAATTTAATCTAACACGAAGACAAATGGGTGAGTCTGGATGACCCAATTAGATTAGTCAACCGTGTTTAGATAGCGTTGTACCTTTTCGATTCCATTGCCCATTTTTTGATCATAATGACCTACCCATTTCTCTCAGAGTAACCGAACCTACGTGTATTTATGTTTGCAATATTCGCTCTATGCAATGATGAAATTTCATCGTAAATTGGTATAGTGATTAAATGTCGCAATGATGAATTGATCTGGGGTCATACTTTCAAAACTCGCTAAGTGAACGTAAGTACTTACGCTCTATGTTCTTGTCTGTGATTAGTGGATTTTGCTTGAAAGGCCGTCAATGATTGGCTGATGAACTTACAATCTCTTAACTTTTTTGAAAGCCTGGACCCTGGTGATGAAATGTTTCTTATTATTGTTGCCATATTATTTAAGTTAAATCTATTACAGCGTTAATAGAAGCTACTTTTGGGGTTTAATGTGGAAAACCTTTCTTGTAGCTTATTTTGGTGTTGTTGTAGCATCGTTTTTTCATGTTATTTGAGCAAAAATTATTATATTTTTTATTAAATTTTTTAAAAATTTTAAATTTAAAAAATTAAGGTGCAATTTTTTTTATTTGCGTCAAATCGTTGTTGTGTTGTTTTATGGGTGAGTTCTATCCTTGTTTCGTCTATGTACAATTTCATTTTGTCCCATGATGTGTTATTTAAATAAGAATAAACTAATTTATATTTTAAAGTTTGTATTTTCTAAGTAGTTCATATAAATTTTTTTTCACTTCGCGTTTGATTTTCATTCTATATTAGGTTAAATGCGTATGGTTTTTATACAGTGTGTAATTTTTACGATTTTGAAACCGATTCATTTTTAACATTTTGTGTGTTTAAAAGCGAATGCGTTATTATTTTTGTAATTTGAATGCTATTAAAAACTTGTGTAATTTCGTGTTCATGATTTTTGAGTTTGTAAAACTTAGTTTTTATTTTATTGTGGCTTTTGTTTGTATGTAATGCGATTTTACCTTTTCTATACAGGTGTAAAATGTGATTATTTTTTTATGTGAGTAGGATATAAGTAAAGATAGGAACCTGGATGGATCCTACCATTCCTAATCCTATGGATAGGAATGGTTTCTAATCCTAATAATCCTAACCATACGGACATCATCATTCACTATTGTGACATTGTATTGGTGTGAAGTGTTAGTTAATTAATCCCTATATCTTCTGCATTATTGCATATGTAAATAAAACATACAATATCACTAGTTTACTCGTTGAAACACAAGATATTACAATTTTAAGAGCCTAATGTGCAACAATTTCTGAAAAATACTAATACTTTTCGTTTGTCTCAACCCAATCGCCTCGTGGGCGATTGGGTTGAGACTTAATTCGAAGAAGAATTCGAACTCCTGGGCATGACTGAATTTGAAGAAAATCTCAATGTAAAAAGTAACGACTAATCTCACAAACTTTTCCGTCGAGATATTCCTCAACCGATATTTGTTTGTAATCTTTAATCAATAATATCAGGTGGAATTGTTTTTATATTGATTCATTTGCGCAAATTTCTCGGGTAGTTATGGTGAGACTTATTTTTGCCACCGTCAACATCGCTGTCGATGTTGACGTTTGTATAAATTTACATGCTTGTTTACAATTTTTTTGTGTACCCTATAATGTACGTTTTGTATACAAAATTTTCATAGGCTACAACGTGGGCTCGAGTGAACTATTCTCTTCGAAATAACCGTGAAAAACGTGTAACTGTCGTTCTAGTGGCCGACTGCCAGTATAAATAAACGGTTTCGCCGTTTTTTTTTCAAATAAGATACGGCTTTATTGAGTAAAATTGAATAAACGGCGACATGGCGTTTTCTTCACGTGCTGGCTGGCTACTGAAGTGCCGGTAACATCGTTTTACGGCGATTCATTACTAATACTTTCTACACTACTAATCCTTCCTGTACTACTGTACTAGTACTACATGCACTACTAATATTTCCAGCCCTACTACTGCTTTCCGCACTACTACTGCTACTAATATTACATGTACTACTACTATTACTACCAGCGCTACTAACAGTACTTGCACTACTAATACTTCCAGCACCACTAATACTACTAATATCACTAACACGACTAACCTGTCAGTTCTGGAGCTGCCGACGATGAGCTGCAGGCGGTGCAGCGCGGTGACGTCAGCAGCGAGTTTGTAGGCAACCTCGTCCGGGACGTCGTCGTGGGCATCAGGTTATAGTTATAGCTTATTTATCATATAAAGGTTATATTAGGTTAAGTATATTATACGTATATAAGTTATATTCTGTGTTATAATCAGAAAAAGTAAGAGCCTTTGTCCAAGTCTGACACTATTTTGCTCTGCAAAAGAAAATATCGGTGCTACATGCAGGAAGTGTGTCACCATTTAAACAATATGACTCAATTTTTTCCTGAGTGTATAGTTTTCTATCTTTTTCAAGTTTTTTTTCAAAAAATATTATTACTTAATTATGTAATGCGTCACATAGGGGGTTCGAAACTTGCAGTTAGTTGTAAACATTCTGGTCGAAATTTACAAATTCTTCTCAATGCATTTAAGGTAAGGCAAAGTTAATGGTTCAACCGAGACGAGCGGTTAAACTTGCCCAGTTTTAACCCCATGATACAACGCCGCTCGTGAAAGGTAAATCGTTTCTCTTTGCATGAAATTTTATTGCATTTAATAACTGGAGTTCTAATGGTATAAGTTGTGTGATCCCAACGTTTTTCCTTGCTTGCTAATTTTTTACATGCTATTTTACCCTGAAATCGGGTAAGCGAGTTACCCTATTGAACGAGTTATAAGAGTACATTGAAAAGCCCTCTGAATTTCTGAGTTACCCTGAATAAATTGAACTGGAGTTCGCAGAAAATATTTCTTATATTTCCTTTTAAGGATGAACTTCAAATAGATATTTAATATTAATAAACCTCGAAACATTTTTCCGTTAAATTTTCTTCGTTATTCAATCTGCATGTTTTTATTTTTTTCCGTTTTTTTCCAATTTCCGTCAGTTATTTTTTTAATTAAACCAATTTCTCTCCACAGGCTATCATTAAATGATAGATTGATTATTTCACTGGCTATAAATCATTAATATTAAATTTTGATTATTTTTCTGCCATTATCTGATGAAATACATCTATGTAAGATTATATAAAATCATACATTATAAAATTTGAAATTCTATTGAATTAAAGAATATTTTTCAATTTTAAATCATTATCAATATCAGTCCCATGAAAAAAGTATTAATCATAAAATTATTTTTTACATAATATTTTTTCAGTTGATTGATGAATGAACCTTCAATGAATATATATGCTTTATATTAATGTTTATTTCCTCTATTATGTATATTATAACCTTATTCCAGGAATACTTTATATTTTTTTTACTGTTGCTTTTATATTTTTTATAAAATATATAGACCACACCAAAAACACATTGAGTTTTATGTTTGAAATCACATTTTTGTATTAAATATTATTTTTTATGTAATGCAACTCATACTTATATTTTTATATATGAAACCATACTCTTTTTTTATTATGTGTTAAATTTTAATTTTGCTACTTGCACGCCACTGCACGTACGCGCCATGCTTGTTTAATTAGAGGTAGGCATTTTTTATACCTGAAATCTCTTTTTTTAAATTATTTTTATTTTTTAATAAAATACAACTCATATTCATATTTTTATTCGTGAAGCCACACTCTTTTCATGATTATATTTTAAATTTTAATTTTGCTACCTGCACGCCACTGCATGTAATTTTAGAGGCGGGCACGGCAGCGGCGGTGCAGGTGGCGGTGGCGGTTTCAGCAACCAGCTGGTGGCGGGTATGGCCTCCCAGTACATCGGCAAGATGCTCAGGTGAAGAATAATTTTTTGATACTTATTGTGTATTTCATGTGTATTTACGATTTACGAGGATCCTTGTAAACAAAATGTGAAGAAAGACCCAATATTTGTATATTTTGTATACAAAATGTGAGAAAATACCCTATATTTGTATATTTGCTAGACGAAATTAAAAATACCCCATATTTGTATAATTTGTATACAAAATGTGAAAATATTCTATATTAGTCCTAAAAAATTCGAGGACCTCCCATGCTTCGGCCGAATAGTCGCTACACTCGGCGCAAAGTTATTCTGGGTCTGGCCGTCAGATCGAAATTAGCTTCTGGTCAGAATTTCCTGTCCGACTTTATAGTCGCCTGAGAGTATGAGAAGAGTAGGCCGCGGCCGAGTCATACCGAAATAGGGAGCTGCCCAGAGGCTGCTTTTCGAACCCTGAGCCGAAGCTGACGTAGAGAAGCTGACTTATCGTGCTCCCCGAGTCCTAGGCGGCCCTGATGCAGGCTCGCACACGCATCTGAATTTTATTAGGGTGTATATGCACCCATGTTTGCATATTTTCTTAGTTATACATTTTACATTTAGCCCAGAAATAAATTTACAAGACGTACCATAAATAACTCGGGTATATCAACTGCATATATTTCAATTATAACATTATTTATACAACGACCTCCATCAAAATACAATACAACACAACTTACAACACCATACAAAAGCCATACAATAAAACATTCCTGTCACTACCATAACACTACCATGGTTGCAGTGGCGGCGGTGGACAGGGAGCTGGTGGTGGCAACCAGGACGTGCTTGGTGGCATCGCAAGTAACCTCATCGGGAACTTTATGGGGTGAGTCAACCCAACCACGTTCTGATATGTCAACCAAGTCAACCCAACCACGTTCTGATATGTCAACCAAGTCAACCCTGCCACGTTCTGATATTTCAACCAAGTCAACCCTACCACGTTCTGATATGTCAACCAAGTCAACCCTACCACGTTCTGATATGTCAACCAAGTCAACCCTACCACGTTCTGATATGTCAACCAAGTCAACCCTACTACGTTCCGATATGTCAACCAAGTCAACCCTACCACGTTCTAATATGTCAACCAAGTCAACCCTACCACGTTCTAATATGTCAACCAAGTCAACCCTACCACGTTCTAAAAATCGACCTAGTTATATAATATATTTTTAAAATATTATAAAATATTTTAAATATATTAAGGATATAAATTATATATTTAGTTACATAAATGTATAAACTATACATATATAAATATATGAAAAATATATATATTAATAAAAAATATGTGTTTTTATATCAATAAAATGCATTTATTTAAATGTATATAGGTGTCTATAATATAAAATTGATATAAATTGATTTTATACTTGATACAGCGTCTATATTATAACACATTCATTATTGAATGTGATTGGTCTACCTATATAAATAAAAATATAGAAATATTTTTTATATTTAATATATAAATACATATAATAAATTTAAATGCATAAATATTTTTAAAAATCTTCACATGCAGTATATTCATGTATCACCTTTGTTATTATTATAAACAAATACTTATCCATATACATTAAATACAATTCTTATTTTGAATAATTCTAAGTTCCTTGCAATAATGATGTACAATTTATATTGTATATAACGTGGTATCGATATATACAATAATATATCGTGGTATATATTACATTATATATATTGTGTGTCAGGGGGGGCGGGGGCGGCCACCAGCCTGGGGGCTCCATTGCCAGCAACATCATCGGCGCTGTCACCAGGTGATGACTGTTATTGTTGTTATAAATTTTGTTTTCATTGTTATCATTTGTCATCATCATTATATATATTAGAATAAGCATTACTAATTAAGGTGATGCTTCTTATTGTTGTTGTTATTATCATTATTATCATTCGTGCCTTCATTGTTCTTATTGCCAACATTATTATTATTATTATTATTATTGTTATCAATTTTTTTTCAATTTTTTTCATTCTTATCATTCGTCATCATCATTAAATATATTAGAATAAGCATTACTAATCATGAAATTACAATAAAATGTGTCACTAAAATAAGCATTTTGTCCGAATGTTGTAACAAAATTAGATAATGTGTTTAAACAAAAAAAATCAATACAAAAATTACTGACTGCTATGGTAAAATGAATTAGATAAAAATATTGTTGAAATTTATTTATTTATTCATTCAAATTTACTATTAGATCTAGATCTTAAATCTTCCTCTCTAATCCCCCTCCCACTCTAACCCCTGTAACCCCTCCCCCCTCCCCCCGCAGGGGTCAGGCCCACACCACCCAGGACGACGGGACGGTGGACGAGCACCTCTCCAAGATGGCCGTCGACCCCAGCAGGAGGAGGATCCTTCCGGGGGCAGGTGGGGGATTAACCCTGGGGGGTTTGGTGGGGAACCTACGTGCAAGTGTGGGGAGAAGTGGGGGCTCGGAGCCCCTGGAAGAAGAACCCGATGGTATGGGAACATGGAAAAAATTGCGTGTAAAAAAACATGTAAATTGGTTGAAAAAAAATTTAAATCACCGCACGAAAAAGAAACGTTACAAGATTACTGGAATAAATTTCTTAAGTGAATTTATTTATAAATTTACAAAAGAATTTCGTGCGTTACGTTTGAAACGTTTTTATTTCATTCATTAATTAATGAATGAATGGAAGTTACCAGTGAAGGAAAATAATGACCAAACGACAGACGCTTTACGCTCCTTCAAAATCCTCCATACATCATATCATTCATATTCATCGAACGTGTCTCATGCTTCAACTAGTGCACTTGTGCATATAATTTTTCATACATCAACTCTATTCATTCATCCACTCTATTCATTCATCAACTCTATTCATACATTCCCTCTATTCCTTCATCCGCTCTATTCATTCATCCGCTCTATTCATACATTCCCTCTATTCCTTTATTTACCTCTTGTCATGTTTTAGACTTTCTTTTCAATTTCCGTATTTATTATTTATTCAGCTGCTCTTCTCTATATTTCCTGTTGGTATACATCAATATATTAACTATTATTAATTTTTATTTGTAATCATTTTCTTACTGACCACGTTTTTTCAGTAATAATTAGTGTGGAATAAAATTTAATGCTAATTATATACGGCAACGATTTTTCATTGATGTTGAATGAATTTAACTAACCATTAAAATTTCCTGCATTTAATCATGATGTCAAGCTAACGATTGAGATCAACTTAAAAATAACTAAATATTCGGAATAATGAATCAATATGAATAATGTATTATATAGTTAGTGTTTGAAAGTGTCCTGCAACGTTTCTCTGTACACCTGATGTCCAGCAACGTTTCTCTGTACACCTGATGTCCTGCAACGTTTCTCTGTACACCTGATGTCCTGCAACGTTTCTCTGTACACCTGATGTCCTACAACGTTTCTTCGTACACCTGATGTGTATGTGACGTATAAATTTATTAATTTTATTCTCCTGCGTTAGTTTCCTTCGTTGCCCTCACGTATCTCAACCTAAACCTTCTTTTCTCTTATCTTGTTCTCCTACCAACTGCACTTCGAACGCCATCGTTTATTTTTTTCCTCTGTAGGTGTACGTACTACCTGCCTTGTCGTACCCTCACTTATCTCCACGCACCCTCATCCCCCACAGGTTCCCTCATCTCGTCGCTACTGAACAGGGGCGCGTACCACCTGCGCAACCGCATCATGAGGGGCGGAAGGAGCGGCACCGGTGACGTCATCAACCCCGCCAAGGCCGTCTGGAACGTGAGTACCGTGGGGGGTGGGGGGTTGAGGGTGTGGTGGAAGGAGCATCGGTGACGTCACCAACCCCGCCAAGGCCGTGTGGAACGTGAGTACCGCAGGGGGTGGGGGGTTGAGGGTGTGGTGGAAGGAGCATCGGTGACGTCACCAACCCCGCCAAGGCCGTGTGGAACGTGAGTACCGCGGGGGGGTCTGGGTAGGGGTGTGGGCGGAGCACTTGTGACGTCATCAACCCTGCCAAGGCCGTCTGGAACGTGAGTACCGCGGAGGGTGGGAGGTAGGGGGTGTGGGTGAAGGACTTGTGACGTCATCAACCCCGCCAAGGCCCCCTGAACGTGAGTACCAGGATACTCACGTTCCCAGGGGGTTGGGTGGGAGATGCGTTGTACTGGTGACGTCATTGCGATGTACTTTTTGCCCAAATGTGGGCAATCCTGGAGTAGCTTTGAGCAGCAAAAGGATGAATCATTGCTACATGTAGAAAGTGTGTCAATATTAAGACAATATGACATATACATCTTACTGAGTGATATTTGATATTGATGATGGAGCGAGTCTGAAATTGAATACAATTGACTTGAATGTGTGATGCATGTCACACTTCGTTTAGCGAGTCGTTCGTGTCGTATGCACGCACGTCGTATGCACGTCACACGTCGTATGCACGTCACACGTCGTATGCACGTCACACGTCGTGTGTACGTCACACGTCGTATGCACGTCACACGTCGTGTGTACGTCACACGTCGTATGCACGTCACACGTCGCAGGATACCAAACGACCTCCGCGCACCGCAGGCTGGCCGTGGCCTACACGTCAGTATTGACTGACGTGCGGACGGTGAAGCGTCGTCGCTGCTGCCAGTGTTGCGAGACCTGAGGTGTTATTCAGTGTCTCTGACGGTATTCCTGTCAGTGTCCCTGTCAATGTCTCTGTCAGTGTTCCTGTCAGTGTCCCTGTTAGTGTTCCTGTTAGTATATGTCAGTGTCTGTGTGACCCTTTACCGGTCAGTGTTTCTATTAGTTTCTTTGTCGGTATTTCTGTCAGTGTCGCACTGGCATAGTAGCGAGAATTTCAACGGTGTACACTGAATTTTTTCGAGTATTAATATATTGCGTTATTTATATACAGATACTCGTAATATATTTAATGTCGTACGAATGTCGTAACGGAACGTTACAGTAACGTCGTATAGTTAAGGCCGCGACAACGAAAATAAAGTCACTCGATTGTGTAACGTGGCGCGCTTTGGTGACACTATATATAGAGATCGTATAGTGTATGGTGACCGTATAGTGTATGGTGACCGTATAGTGTATCATGATCGTATACATGTTGACGGTGCTCATAAAAACCTAAATTTGAATCCTGAACAACTGAACAATTTAAACATGCTGACCAAAGACGCCATATCTGCGTGGACTGTCGCAAAATATTATAATATGCTTCTCTGGCTTAGCAAATATTCGGCGCAAAATTACTTTTTTAATTTTTTACGTATTTTAGCTTTGCAAAATAGTTTTAAAGACGCGTCAATTCTTTCATTGAATAAACTAATCGATAACGTTCCCGAAACGTGTTCAAATATATATTATTTACCGGTATCTCAACCTATAAAAATTTTTAGCTTTGGTTTATGTCTAATTTTTCAGTATTTGCTAGTATCACAGCTTGTCATGTTGGTGTTAACCTAGCTTTAATTTTGCCTAAATGACTAAAATGACTTAGCTATGATATACCTACTAGAATAGGGCAAATTGCCATATTTTGTGATCAAAATTTTAGCCTAGCTTCTCATTGGTTGAGTGCTAAACGTGGGCTATGATTTACAAACTTTCATTGGTCGCTTGACACGTAATTCTTTCATTAATAGTGAACGTAATTAGGTTTCATTCGTTTTTAAATTAATATAGATCATACTTTGGTTTCTACCGAGTAATTAGGCAATGTTAAGCTAGCTTTCCAATTGCTTCTTAGCGCGTCTGTTGAAGAGGTTTTCTATCATATGTTTGCTATTGTCGTAATTGTGAAGTTCCCCGAGCGGCTTTTATTTGCATTAAAATTTTGATCGATCAAGATCCATTGGCACAATTTCGAAAATATTTATCGATTTAAATCCGCAGGGAACAATTGCGAATAATTTTTATTTATCGAAATACATAGGGTAAAATTACGAAAAAATTGTAGTGATCAAGATTATAGAGCATGATTTCGAAAACGATTTCGAAAAGATGTGAAACCCGACCACTGGCCAGTCTCTTCCGTATTAAAATTTATAGCCGAGTTAACCCTAATCCTTACGTTCAGATGCCATCTGGTGGCCGGCCATAAGCCGCGCATAATATACAGCTGTTCTTGCAACATGAGTAATGACGTGAGGTCGATACGTGGATGGGTTACCGGAGCACAAAAAGATGGTTGACTGCACCGCTCATGGCTAGGAAAGTTATTATGCAACCTTAACACTTTGTCTTCGGATGCATTAACCGTCACCTATGCTATTCGTACCTGATGGTCTGAGAAAGAGTTATTATCAGCAAACAAATGTTATTACTTTGTCTACAGATGCAGTAACCCGTCGCCTATGCTATTCTTACCTGTAATCATGGCAACGGGGTTAACATCAGCAGAAAAATGTTCTATTAACTTCGGTTGATGCTATTCATTCCTAAAGGCTTTGTAATGATACTTACAGTTAAAAGACGAAGATTTAATATTTCTACGGATACATTAACCATTGCCTATGCTATTCGTACCTGAGGGCACGGTAACACTATTTACGGTCAGCAGGCGAAGAATCTATCAGGTTCAGTGGGGTTAATGGGAGGAAATTAACCCTACTTATTAAAAATTAACCCTCTTAAGATAATTATAAATATTTAATGAAAATGAGAATATCTTGCATGAAAATTTTCTTAACTTGAACACTTCATTTTTTATAAGATGTTCATAAGAACAAATTCTCTGGGTGACCAAATTTACAGACCAAAAATCTCACCGTATAATTATTTATTAAAATTTAAATGCGCGCAATACGGACCGTATTAAGAAATCCTTCAGTAGAGCAAGGATCTAAAACACGGAAAGTTCGGAGCGGTTGCTCAAGGTTGACGGAAGCGTGGCGGCTGTGTGCCATACAAACGATCGTTGATATTCTTGTATATTATGTTTTTCTTGTATATTTTTTTTACATTATCGGCCTTCTTTTGTTCTCACGTCATGTCCTGAGTCTAGCCCTGTCCAGAATCATAGTCGCGGTATCGGTGGCCAGTGTCGAGCTCAACATTATGGGCGCGGTATCGGTGGCCAGTCTCAGGCTCAGCATTATGGGCGTGGTATCGGTGGCCAGAATCAGGCTCAGCATTATGGGCGTGGTATCGGTGGCCAGTCTCGGACCCAGCATTATGGGCGTGGTATCGGTGGCCAGTCTCAGGCTCAGCATTATGGGCGTGGTATCGGTGGCCAGTCTCAGGCTCAGCATTATGGGCGCGGTATCGGTGGCCAGTGTCAGGCTCAGCGTTATGGGCGCGGTATCGGTGGCCAGTCTTGGGTTCAGCATTATGGGCGTGGTATCGGTGGCCAGTCTCAGGCTCAGCATTATGGGCGTAGTATCGGTGGCCAGTCTCGGGCTCAGCGTTATGGTCGTGGTATCGGTGGCCAGTCTTGGGTTCAGCATTATGGGCGTGGTATCGGTGGCCAGTCTCAGGCTCAGCATTATGGGCGTAGTATCGGTGGCCAGTCTCGGGCTCAGCGTTATGGTCGTGGTATCGGTGGCCAGTATCGGACCCAGCATTATGGGCGTGGTATCGGTGGCCAGTCTCGTTTGTTCTTCTGTTCGAAGTTTCTCAGTCGAACTTGTAAAGCCAATCGTTATTTTATGGAACTTTTTTCGTTTGACCTTATCTTCGCGGAAAGGTGACTTTTTGGAGCCGCACTAAAGCCATTATCTCGATTTTTATATCTGCCAAAGATCGATTGCAAACCTTGGCAATATTTCCGGGTCAAAAGTTGCTTATTTTCCTTCCGATCGTTGCTTCAAAACTTTCTACGTTCAGCCGTTATTCCTAAACCCTTTTTTCTACATCTGTCATTTCCAAACCTGTTGATATAATTTTTCATATCACTCCTGGATGATAGTTTTCTTTCAAATTAGAGATTAGTATTAGTTTATCATCGAAGTCCAATGATGTATCATTTTGAATGATATATTGCGTGCCAGTTTTACATTGTGGTGAAATACCGGGATTTTACTGCGGTTTATGATGCATGAAGTGCAATTTTCACTCGTGCTGTGATGTAGAATTAGCCTACCTGTGTACTCTGGATACCCACTTTCCAATGACGTTGAAAATAGGTTTAATTAACCTCGATTTAACGAAAAAAACGTTATTCAACGTCGATTTAACGTCAGATATCCAACAACTTGATTTCTTGGATGTATATTGAGGTTACATGTGATGTCAATTTGCTGTAGGATGATTTGACAAATTTAGCGTTTGAATGAAACTGAAACCGCGTTATTAAATTTATTATTTCTGTAATGAAGGCTGGGGTGTTGATACAATCGTATTATTATATCCTGGATAGTCTGTTTAGACTGAATAGTTCGTTTATTTATTTTTTTGTTCACATAATTTTTTAACATTGATGTGAATTCGAGCTGCCTTTTCAAAAAAATTTCTGTTGATTTACAGGAACTTTCCAATTTTAATTTCTTAACAGTTTTGATATTTCTTGCCCCGGTCAAAGGAGACTTTGTACAAGAAAAGAATTTCTGGCCTAGTCTATGGATTTATTTTACAAATCTAAATGCCAAATACACGTCAAGTTTGAAAATTTCCGCAACCAATTTAGTGAAATTATGAAACAGTAAATAAAATTGACGGTTCCGTTTCGTGCGATGCTGGAAAAAGTTGACTGCTTTGACACCCCGGACGATCCGGACCCCCCGGAGACCGGGGAGGCGGACCCCTCCGACCCCGTCGTGCGGCAGCCCGACCCT